AAATTAGATGAACAATCTATTTATCAGTTGAACGTTTCGTCCCTATATTTAGGACACTATTCAATGAATTGTAAGTTTTTTTGTATTTGTATAAGAAGTAATATTTCATAATAAAATTTTAGTTGCTGAAATATAGGGGAAATATAGGGACGAAACGTTCAACTGATTAAATAGATTGTTCATCTAATTTAAACCTGTCCAACAAAAAATATCCCTAAGATTAAACTTAGTAATAATATTATATATAATATCTATTTAAGACTGTCAACTAGAAAATAAAATATTTCAAGAAATGTGATGCAGATTTCTTTATCTCCATTCTTGTGTTTCTTATTCAATGAAAATAAGAAAATATTTATCTGACGTAAGATTAACCGAATAAATGATAAAGAAAAAAGAAAAGAAATAAATAGGGATGGTCGTAAAGAGGGTGTTACAACTAACTTAAAAGGAAATTTTCGATAAGAAGTATGAAAGTTGGTGTCCTTACCTGATAAGCGTATGGTGTACAAGGAACGTAAAATTCTCTGCTCATAATAAAAGTACTCTAACTGGATTGGGTAGACGATTTGTATGGTGTTAAAATAGTTAATTCTTCTGTTCTTCTTATTTTCTTAAAATCCAGCTGACGGATCCTTGGGGCAAGTGTCAAAATGACACTGGCGCCATCTTCAAATGGTCGCGAATCAGCTCGCAGACAGCAGCAGCAGCAGCTCGTCAAGCTGTCACGAGCTCGATAATCCTCTTTTCTTCGATGAAAATGTCCTCCTCTCCATGCTGACGTAAGTGTATCCTTGATGGTTTTGATTTTTCAAAATGATCACAAAAAAATGAACGATTTGTTGGGCCAAACGTTGTCAGAAATAAACTCGTTTTTATTTGATTCACGATCGGGGGAGTCACCAAAGCACAATGCACGATTCCACTCTCAGCGTTTACATCCGCACACTACTTCGATTATTTAAGATTGAAAAATTCAAATTTGAAGATAATTGTTAATTATTATAATCGATCGAATATCGATACTAATGAGTGACTGCACAACGTCTAAGATTATTTGAAATCAAGCTCAATTAAACAATCGAGATATGATCGCGGCATTAACTTTGTAACTTAACTACGCCATTTTTCCACTCCTGAGTTAACCAAGGATAGTCGCATACGACAAGAAACACCGCGCGCTTCCACTGGTGACTACCAACTGATGCCGCCACTTGCGAGTAGTATGATGCACCGTCGCTGATACGCTGCTACTGCAGCGCCACGGTGCATCGATAATCGAAACTATAGCTCGACTTATCGATACATCGACCGTATGGCGCCATATTTAAAAATTTTTCAAACCTTTTTTTTCATTTAAATTCTATATAATAAAAAGACATTATTTATAATATATATATATATGTGCGTAATTTTGTTTAATGATATCTTAATATTTCTCGAAACTCTATTACGACGAATATGACAGATAATTTCTTTGTTTTTTCTCTTAAAAATAAATTATTCACCGAGTATTACGAAATTTTGCACAGGGTTAAATATAAAAAGAATCTTCTTTAGAAACGAATACGCGGGCCTAATTATTGTTCCTTCTAACAAAGGAAGAATTTCCTATTTTTGTTTTTGACTTGATTACGATATTCCTAGGTATGAGAATATCCTGCCAGGGTATCTCGAGGTCGTCGGGCTCACAGGAATCTGCCTCCTCTGGTGGAGGCACACGGATATCAACTGGTTTGTCCAAAGCAAGATCTTCCCATGGTATTTTAACTCGAGAATCAGAACTGGTTGGATCATAGTCTCTCGGAGATGATATCACGTTAGTGATCAATAAATTGTGCCAGGGTAACGTCATAATGCCAGTCGATTCCTTTTTCTCGAGTTCTGATACGGCGGTGCTTTCATCGTCGTGTTCGACTTCCGTTCTTCCACCGCCATGTTCTTTAAATTTACCATCCGTACGAATTTTTCTTACCACAGTCGGTAACGCAATGTCCTTCCATGGTAACTCAATCTTCGAATCGCACAAAATTGACACGTCCGAAAATTCTTTTTGAAGAGGTTGCATGTACGGTTCGTGCCATATCTCGTCGTCCGCGTTAACGTTAAATACCAATGTCTGCCTTTTTCTTTTGCAACGATCACGAGGTTTTTTCTTATGATGAGCTGGAAACTTATTTTTCCAACATTCGCAACCCTGACGTTTTACTTTGGTCGCAGTTGTACCTCTCTCCATTTTATTCTTCCGCAGTTTTCTCTTCTTCTTCTTCTTCTTCTTCGTCTACTTAGTCGCCATCTTTGCTAAGCGCCCTTTTTTTTTCTCTTTCGATTTATATATGAATTTATTTATATATATATATATATATATACATATATACTTGTGTATTAGATTTAGATGAGAATATGTTGCCTGTTATAACCCCTTAACGTCAATTTTAGCTTGTTTTCAAAAAAGCATCGATGCGAACACAGCTGGAAATTATACATTTCAATATTAACTCTTCTTTTTTTAATTCCCCTCTTTCAATTTTTTTAACGATCTAACATCATGCATTTGAATAAAACGCTGAATAAGGAATATGTAATATAAAGTTGAAGGAAGAGTTGGGTGTTGCGTTACTACTTGCTTGCTGAGTGTGAATCGATCTTAATGCGTGATTCACACTCAAAGGGTAATGACGATGACGCTTTGGGAAAAGCACGAATGCCGTCGGTGCGGATCGAGACAACGGGGAACGGTACTACGTCGTCGCATGAGAAACAGAGAAAAAAAATATATAGCAAAGAGAGAGAGAGAGAGAGAGAGAGATAAAAGAGTATAGAAGCGCTTGCGTCAGGGTCGGTTGGAGTTTCCTGACGAGATGGAAGAGGAGGAGGACAAAATGGCGAACGAGGACGATGAATATGAAGAAAGAGGATGGGGTGATGGTGGAAGAGGAGGAGGAGGAGGAGGATTCGTTGGGAGTATGTGTGTGCCATCTGTCGGCGGATGTTGGTATAACGCGAAAAATTCTACTAGTTGCCGATAAAAGGAAATCCGTGGTTCTGCTTCGGACTCGATTTCAAAATTAAACGCTCGACGACCATGCACAAAATCTCACGTAGATCGAGATAACCGTTATGTAAATTCATTCGGACGTTGGGTATTCCGGAATCAGCAAGCAGAAGGAAGTTTGGAGAAGTGTCGGGCCGAAAAAATATCGTACGGAAAGGATCGCGAAGCTCTGACTGATTAACGTAGTAAGGCTACGTTTAGAAGGCAGCCATCTTGCAATCCCTAATCAAAGATCTTCGGCTAGCGGGTATCGTTCTTCTCTCTCTGGTTATTCGGCCAGTTAATATCAACACACAGTTCATCAAATGGCTTTAAAACGAATTAATAAGGTACGTGAACGAAAGAGTGATAGGAGTTAACGGGTTTCCTTGTATCATCCATCGTCGTGCGGTGTGTGTCGAACACGGTTGAACGCCCTTAACGATTTTGCAGTGAAGCAATGTGAGAGAGCCCGAGCATTGAAAATCCTCGAGGCATTTTAAGCCTTTTTTTTTGTTATATTATTACGGTCGGTACATAACGCGAGTAATATTTTCTACTCCTTTTATCCTACATATCGATGACTCGCGCAGACACGCGGGCACAGTGCCACTTTTTGTGCCAGTGTAGATTTACTTATTTGACTGGAGGTGACAGTGAATTTCGAAAAATTCTCTATGGCTTTCTTAGAAATTGCCGGAAGTAAAGTAAAATATTCTGTTACATGCATCTATGTATATATATACATACACGAATATGTATATCTATATATACACCCATATATACCTATATATATATGTATATAATATGTGCTCCTACATATATACATATATATCTATATATATACATATATATCTATATATATATATATGTGTGCATATACGTAGTAATAGATGGTCACATTCGTTACTAAAATATTGTAACTTCCTTTGTGGACATCTTGTTCTTCAACCTTTTCCAATTTTTTTTATCTCTAATGTTTCCCTTTCCACCCCACCAAATCACTAAATCTTATGACGAATTATTGAAACAAATCATTTCTTTTTGTTTAAGGATTTTATATGCACCACTTTCTCACAATAAAACTTCCTATTAAAATCAATATCAAAGTTTTCTAATAACTGCGGTAACAAAGAATGGAATTATATCGGAGAGACTCGTCGTCTTATTTGAATCTTTGTACTTTTTATTGGCATCGATAAGTTCTACGCTCTCATCTTTTACACAATTATTTTTTATTTCTAATACAAATATTATATTGGACCTTCGCATACAGTTATAAAACTAACTTTAAAACTTTTCAAAATTTATACACGGTAATAGGTAATGCGATTCAATAATGTTCTACTTTTCGCTAAGAAGTCTGAACAGCGTAAAGCTTGCTGCTTGGAACTCAAATGGTTAACAATAATCTAGTTGGTTATGGTACATCAACTAGTTTACATATGAGATTTTTCTAATGTAAAATAAATAAGAATTTTTCAATGTTAGATAAAAAGGGAAAAAAAATCTTTGGAGATATGTGAGCTGACATTGGCACATGTGTCAAAGTGCAAGGTATACAAATAATGACGTGATGTGAAATAGATGGCAGGTCTAACATTATGTAGATGAAAAAAAAAAAAGTATGCTCTAAAAATAAAGTATCTTGATATAGCTCTATATAAAATATCATACCACCATCATAAGCTTCTATTGACCATAAATGAAATGTTTCATTAGATTTTCTTTTTTTTTTTTGTTGAATTTTTTTTATAATACAACTTGATAAAATAACTTTTGATGATTTCTAACAAATATGAATTTGTTTTTCTTTAAAATATTAGGAACTTCAGGACCTTGGAAGAGATCCACCCGCTCAATGTTCTGCAGGCCCTGTTGGAGATGATTGTAAGTTTTTTTATTTTCCTGTTGTTGAGTCATCATCATGAGTTGCATTTATGTCACTAAAATACTATTAGGTTAGATACGTTCTCATTGTAATTGTTACATTCTGTGATATCAAGTTAATACAAATACTTAAACATTTCCTTTGTGAAATGATATATATTGGTTTGTTCATTGCTTGATATAATCTATGCACTTGTTTTAGTATTCCACTGGCAAGCAACGATTATGGGACCAGTAAGTGTCATATTTTATTTTCTATCCATGTTCTCATTTTATTTCCATTTGTATTAAATATTGTTATTGTATTATATAAAAAGAAAAAAAAATGCAAACTCATTGTTCTTCAACTCCTATATAAGCACATTAATATGAACAAAAGTTTTTGTCCTGTGATAATAAAAACAAAAACTACAATATTTTCCAGCCTGACAGTCCGTATCAAGGCGGTGTATTTTTCCTAACAATTCACTTTCCCACAGACTACCCATTTAAACCACCTAAGGTATGTATGTAGGCTATATAATAAGAAGCATTTTATCAAGTTTCTTATTTAAAATGCAATTATTTAAATGAACGGATTATTATAGGTTGCTTTCACGACTAGAATCTATCATCCTAATATCAACAGTAATGGAAGTATTTGTTTGGATATATTAAGATCGCAATGGTCGCCAGCACTTACTATATCGAAGGGTATGTACTATTACCAAAAATTATTCTATTTTCTAATAAACCTATCTTAATATAATTTAAATTTATTTCAATAACTAGGAAGTAGATAACGAAATAGATAATAAATAACTTTTGTTGTATAGTCAACTTAAAGTATAAAAGTTTAAACTGGATCGTCTAAATGTATTTAACCAAATGTTTACTTCGCAAGTATTTCACTAAGGTGCTGAAAATTAATGAAGGTTTCAATCTTTGATAATGATTTCAGTCTTACTTTCAATATGTTCTTTGCTCTGCGATCCAAATCCAGACGATCCATTAGTACCAGAGATAGCAAGGATATACAAAACTGACAGGGAGAAATACAATGAATTGGCACGCGAATGGACGCGCAAGTATGCCATGTGATGCGCCAATCTCCGTTGACCTCAACACCCGAATGCCACCAACAAGCAACCCCAGCCTATTGCCACTTATGCATCAGCACAGATTGAAATTAGTTATGGCTCGTCTACTTTTAAACTTAAGCCGCGACTCAGGCCCGAAGAATTCTCTCAGGCAAGCGTCGACGAACTGTGGAGTTTCCCTTCTCGTACTGGGTGGCCCGCGAATACTAAGACGTTGCCACGATGGCAATCAAGGCAATTTTAAAGGTGGTCATAAACACACACTTACACCTACACACACATATAAACATACACTGATATACAAACGCAACACGCAACATATACATAATTCAGATTACAAAAAAATGAAAAAAGGGAAAAAAAAAATGACAAAAAAATACATTCATACCTACATACAAACATAAAAACAAACAAGCAAACAAACAAATTTACCAACAAACATGTCCGCTTTGATTTTCATAAAATAAATAATAATTACAAATAAAAAAAGAAAAAAAAAAAAAAAACGGGAAAAAAGAACATATGGAAGTAAGGTATAAACAGGAAAAAAATAAAACTAAACAAACAGAACAAAACAAACATAACAATATAGGAGAGTGAAAGTAGGATTTGTATTTCAATTGAATAGTTTAATTTTTAATTATATTGTGCTTATATGGATAACTGTAATATTATATACCTACTTTCTCAGTGAAAATGGAAATGAAAAAAAATACAAAACAAACAAACAAACCTTCGAACTGACAGCACACCGATTGTTAGTTTAACAAAACGCAAGTGAGCAATGTTTGCCCGTCCCCTGGAATGATACGGTCACTTTTTTGTAAGACTGGGCTATATATAAATACTAATGAAACTATACCCATACGTTTTGTTTAATTATTAAAATTCCTTACCTCGTCTGACAAATTCTACGAGTAACATTGCGTTATTATCAAATTACAAATTAACAATTTCATCATAACTTATGTTTCCTGTTATTGTGCGTATAGTTTTATCACGCAAGGTATTTCAAATCTTGTTAAAAAATATTGCAAAGCAACAAAATAATTTATTATTATATCATGTTTGTGTCAATTTCCAAATATTTATATTATGGTAATTTGTTTGCACACGATATAAAATCAAAAACGAATTTTATTTTTTTTTTTTTATCTCTATCTAGTTATATGAGATTTGTAATCTAGTAATAATCTATACTTTTGGTATCTCAACGAAAATGGCAATCACGTACTTAAAACGACTGTCATTTTTCAAACAAAATTCATATTTTATCGGGCTGTATTTGGCTTGAAAATAAGAAAACTAAATAAATAAATGCAAATAGAGATTAAACATGCCAAGTGTGTGGAAATTGTGTAGACATCGATGTTCATTGATAAACGATAAGTAGAAAAACAAAAAATCGGTCCGAGTTCTGTCCGTTTAAGGTTTCCTTAATGAATTATTATCTTTAAGAAAAGTAGATTATATTAATATTTCAATAAACAAACAAATAAAAAGATAAACGATATAAAATGAATGAAAATGAAAATGAAAATGAAAATAAAATACGACGGAAAGAGAGATGCTGCAATTGCCATGAAGAAGCAGATATATGTATAAAAAAAAAAAAGATTTAAAACAAAAAAAAATTGGGGGATGAAGGTTTCCTCTAGGTAATTAAATTTTCTCGTTCGTAGTATTATTTATATATCCTACGAAATCATGAATTTGCCGGCCGTTGATATACAACGTCGTTATACTCATGTTAATATATTATTATTATTATTATTATTATTATATTATTATATTATTATTATTATATATTATTATTATTATTATTATACTATTATTATTATTATTATTATTATTATTAATTATACACATTAATTTTGCGTGCGAATTTTTTTTCCCGTTTTGTGCGACAATATTTGCTATAATTCATACATCCAGTCTCGTTTGCATTCACAATACGAAACTAAACAACACGTCTTATTGTTAATACGAATGATAGATTGAGGAATCATAAAAAAGTCGTTAAGAATAAGAATTTTCATATATGAGAGTATTGTGGTTGATATTTCGAGATCGGTATATATAACATTTTGAAACTTAATTTGTATTACTTGCGAGATTGCATATATAAATGCGTTTTAATTGCGATACAGTAGTACGTATATAAATACATACATAAAATACTTACATGCATATATCTATGCATACACAATATATACACGCACATACACAGACAAGTACGTACATAGGGGTACACACAATCAATTACATAAATTTAGCATACGTTAAATACGAAAGGATACCACACAATACGAGTGCACTACTTTCTTTACAAATATATACATATACATTTATACATATATATGTATATATATAAAATATNCGGTCGTTCTCGACACCGTTACCACCATACACACGGTACTCAAGTCCTATCTTCTTTCTGAAAATAGGTAAATATATATATAAAATATTTTGTTTCTAAGCGATGTTAAACAATGTTTTAGCTTTAAAATAAGCTTTTATCCCACCCCTCTTTTCTCATTCACTTCACCCTCTGATTTCAATAGAAGGATTTTAGAAGTCAAAGGATTATATAACATATTTAAAAAGATATAAGAAAGAAACAAAAAATTTCTCTCGCTTTACGTGGCTGTCCCTTTTTACTTTTACTTTCTCTCTCTCTCTCTTTCAGACATATGCATACACACACAATACACATACACACACATACTTATATACACACGAGGTGCGTTTAGAAATTATTAATAATGAAAGCAGCCGATACATTTTTTTTGGATAAATAATCTAAATGAAGACAAAAAAAAACTGAACAAAATGAAAAAGACGAATGTGCAGAATAGCAAACCTCAACCTTCATCATCCCCCTTCCACTTCTACTCCCCCCCCCTAAACCTAACGTGATCGATCAATTCTTTCGAGTATGATTATTATTCTTGTTAATTATTAACGAAAATGTATTGACACTAATTTTTGTCTAGAATTTAATTACAAGTAAGTGCGAATTAATATAATGTCGACGATGATGATGAAAATGATTATAATGATGATGATGATGATGATGATGATGATGATGATGATGATGATGATGACAAAGATTAAACAAATTAATGGAAGAAAAAGAATTAACATGGCAAGAAGGAAACAAACAAAAAATTAAGCCAGATAAATTCGACGAATGTTTAAAACAAAATTTCCTACCGTATCAAACCACTCGCCACCCCCATTCCTCCCTCGACCCCACCCCCCAATCCCCTCGTTTGTTCTATCGATCGATTTAAATTTATCGTTATCGTTCAAAAGCATCTATTATCCAGATGTACCAAGAGAAAATTGAAGAAAAGTAACTAAAGGAAAAAAATAGAAAATATAATCAATGGGAATAATGAGAAACTTATTCGTGCGTAATATTAAATTAAATAATAATTAATCGATGTCTCTCGCGTAAGTGAAAATTAACAACATACAAACAAACAAAATAAAATAAAATAAAATAAATGTTAAGAAAAAGAACACGCGGAAATGGAAAAAGAATAGAAAAAAACAAACAAACAAACAAATAATTAAAATAACAACATAAAAACGTCGAAACACATTTTGAATAACTTATCTTGTGTACATTTTAGCATTAGTCCTTTATATAAATAAAGTCCATATATGATGATGATGATACATGTATCTATGATTATGAAAAATTATGTGTGAATTTACCTGAAAACAAAAAAAAAAAACAAACAATTTAATTATGTAATTAATTATATTCATTATATCAACTTTTGTAAAAAAACATTTTGGAAAGGTATGGGGAAAAAATTATAATAATAATACTAATAATATTAATAATAATACTAATAATAATAATAATAATAATAATAATAACGATAGACAAATTGTTTATAGAAAATTAAGATAAAATATTACATTTAAGTAGGATCTATGGATCATTCAATGCGAAAGCAGTGCGCGGCCCGCTTTCACGATCTTGGAAAGATCGAAATTTCTCTCTTTCTCTCCCTCTCTCTCTCTCTCTTTATTTCTTTCTTTCTTTCTTTCTATCCTCCCTTCTATCCTCCGTTTCTTTTTTTTATTCTTGGGATGTGAGAGGTGCAGTATAGTGAAAGTGGACGCATAAAACGGACAAAACATAACGCGTATTTCTTTTATTAGAGGAGGAGAAGATGATTCCTCTTGAAAATATTTTAGACGGAGAGAAGAATGATAATGAATAAACAAACAAACAAAATTTAATAATAAAATTTAAATATATATATATATATATATTAAAAACAGATATATTATATATGTAAAGTGTGTTTGTGTGAAATAAAGTGGGGGACATGTACGATTTTCAA